TCTCTTCCGTCTCCTGCCCCCCTCACGCCCCATTGTTGGTGGCTTGTGGTTTCGTTTGAGCGCCCGTTGTCAGCTGGCCTCTTCTTCCTCCTCGTGCCAGGAGGTCATGAACCTCTCAGCTCCCTCCAGCACCGCCGCATGCCAGGGTACTCCCCCCTCTACCTTCGCGGCTTCCGTCCACTTTAACGTCGGTGCCGTGTCTTCGGTACCGGGATTCCGAAACAACATGGATCGGCTTTCGTAGATCCGTGGTCTGCCCCGAATGCCTTCAGGTCGTCAAGCACACACTTCGGCCAGTTCTGTTCCTGTCCCCCCCTACGTCGCTTCTCCCCCCCAGCCAGTTCGCCGAACATCAGTCGTTTCGGGAGTCGCCCGTCTGGCTGCCTTGCCAATGCATCGGAGCGGGTCGATTTTGGTCGTTGTAGGACTGGCCACAGCGGCACCGGAGAAGCGGCACCGGAGAAGCGGCACCGGAGCAGCGGCACCAGTGCAGCGGCACCGGAGCATGCGGACGGCATCGAACCATGACGCACGGACAAACATCTCTTCTTGTCCGTTTTTTCCTGAATATTGGTGTTTAGTGTGTGTGATGACGTCACTGGTTTTGTAGAGAGACGCGACAGAGATGGCGCGGATAACCCGGGTGCCTTAATTATGTACCTGCCTCGTCGAAGACCCCTTCAATGTGGAACGATTCCTAGTCAGTGTCGAGGTTTACACTCTGCTGTGTCTAACACAGATGATCTGGATAGATTCGGGAGATTTTCAATTGCAATGATAATGGCTTTGGTTGGCTGTTCTTGTTCATTATTATTGTATGTCCACGGACTCATTCTGACAGCACTTCAGACAGCAGCTGCATGCCCCGAGCGTGTGTACCGTGCACCATGGTGTTATTATTGTACAGACAGCACTTCAGACAGCAGTACGCTGTAGTCGACAAACATTGATTTTGGTTGAGTGCGGGACAAGAGGGGTATTGCTGCTGCTGCCGTTGTAGACTTGTAGTGTGTGGGAGTGTAGTCTAGTAGTTCAGTTGCGAGGACGCAAACGTGCTACAAGAGTTGTAGGTGTTGTTGTTGTTGTTGTTGTTGTATGTCAGTTGCTAAATGCCAAAATCTAGCAAAAGACTCTCAGCCCGTGGTCACGAAAGTGCTGGAGCCATCTGAGGATCTACAGAACACGCACACATATAACGAGAAAAAGGTATCCAAGAGCTCGAAGAGGTACACCTAAAAATCCCTGCAGCACCGTATGCGTGCGTGCCCAAAAACTGAACTGCACGTCCGTCCCACCGTTCGACCACAGCAGCATCACCCCCTCCCTGTCCACTCTATACCAACGGAAGATTGCCGACTACAGCATAATAATGCTGTCTGAAGTGCTGTCAGAATGTGTCTGCGGCCGTACAGTGAAAAAGAACAACCAACCAAAGCCATCATAGCAGCAATTGACAATCACCCGAATCTCTCCCGATCGTCTGTGTAGGCACTGCAGTGAAAAATATCGACACTAGCTAAGAATCGTTCCACATTGAAGTTGTACATAATTTTGAAAATCAAGAAAAAATAATGATGAAGGGAAGATCCATATTCATCATACAATGGAACGTCAGCATCCCTGGCAGCATCAGCAAATACACCTTTGTCTAAAAGGGTGCCGTGGTTGACGATTAGCTTCGGGGAGAGGTCCAAGCAGGTCGACAAGGGCTTGGACAGCTTAAAAAAAATGAAATGGCGGATGAGAGCAGGAGACTGCACACACTCGAATATGTATTCAAAGGCTATTATTAATGCTTTTTATGAACATGTATGAACATGCGGTGGAATAGGTGTATCATGCACATCTGGATACCGCCCGTGGCGTGTGCCTCCGCCATGCTAATGGACGGTGGCGTGTGCCTCGCCAATCGGTCATGAAGCCCGACCCGGCTCTGACTGGCTCTACGGCTACGCCTGCCACGCCACCACCCTCCCACAAATCACCAGCACCACACAGCAGTCACACCCCTCCCGGCCCCGTAGTTGTTTTGGAACGGGCATCGTCGCGTCGATTGAGCGCAGCCATGACGGTGAGATCTGCTGCTGTTGTTGCTGTTGCAGCAGCGGCAGGAGGATTCGTTGCCGCCCAAACCACGACAACGGCAAGCTCAGGAACGACCTTTGCACCAATAGCCGGGTATACCCCAGGTATGTGGCGTTTGCCTGTAGTAGCAGCGGTTCTGAATGGCAGCAGCGTAGATTACGGAGACAAGAAGGATATCAACGGGCGGTACACGATGATCATGGTGATGTGACGGCGCTCGCAGACCCGTGATCCTCGACATTCTTTCGAACCGGAGTTTAATGCGCATGCTGCATGCCTCATCGCGTGCCTCTTTCCCCTGTTGTTTGTCGCAGTATCGGACGTTGTCGAACACTCCGAGCTGGACCTGGATGTGGCAGACATCGAAACTAACGCCGATCTGCTGACGGAAGCCGGCTTCGCCGCCGCGTACGTGGCGTACTCTGAGGGTGGAAACAGGTGACAAGAGAAGGCACCCCTTCCGAGACGTGTGGTTAGATTTGTCTCTCTACACACACTGCTTGCTCATCTCTCAACAATCCTGCTGCTGCTGCTGTTCGCTGCTGCTGTTGCATGCAGCCACTCGCCGCTGTTGTTGCATGAACGAATCTATCTGTTTTGCCTGACGCTGGAAACAAACACCGACCTCCGCACTTCCCTGCGCCATCCCTCTGCCTTTCGCTGCCAACAAAAACATCGTCGCGCCGCCGGCATTTCAGCGAGAAGACGACCGGAATTCGGACGGTCCAGGGCTTCTCGACCGGAGCTCAAGAAAAGCTCACCGGCGAGGCTACCTTCGACGTTTGGGAGGCGTACTGGGGCAGCGCCGACTACGCCGACCAATTCACGTCGGCGGCTTGCCTGGGAACTGGCGCCTTCGAAGGCGCGTCCAACCTCACTCGGTCAGAGGGCTGCCTCAAAGGAGCACAGTGAGTTTCACGATGCCCGCGACCCTGCCACCCTGCCTTGTCCGTCTGGATGCTTCGTTGTTGCTCTTGACTCTAGCAGAAACGGATCGCCCTCGGCGTATGGTACATGTATTGCGTTGATACCGTTACTCACCCTCACATTACCCCTTTTTCATGTAGGTGTTCTCCTTAGTCCTTTGGACATTTGAGAGAGGGCTTACGGGGTAACCGAAACTGACTTGAGCCTCGCGGCGAGCGATTCACTCCTACTTACTGTAGGAAGAATGGTTTGCGAGTGTTTTAACGGATAAATAAGTATCACCAATGCCCCGCCACTTGTTGCACTTGATCAGAAGTTCACATGTATTTTCGAACAACTTCAACCCCCCCCCAAAAAGGAACTTTTTTTCGACAGGCGTGAGTGGAATTTTTTCGACCGATAACCAGAAACGGGTACCCGATTACTTTTTATCACTTTAGGGTACAGTTAGAAAACTACACGCTTGCACCCCCAGGCTGTCAGCTGATCGGCCGAAAACATATTTTACCCATTTCTAAAGGAACCTCCATCGGGTACAACTTCCGCTGGAATTAGGACCCTCTGGTGTGACCGATATTGGTTACTGGTGTACCCGGAAGAGGTCAATTTTGTACCCAGAAATGGTCATATAATTCCGGCGCCCGACGCTCTAGCATAAAACCCGCAGAAAAAAACGTGAACCGCAAATACCATGTACCGCACATATACAACCACAACCAAACCACCAACAACCCCCGCTCGTTCATCGTTCATGGGCACCGCCTCCATAGGATACCGGCCCTTCTCAACACAGGGTCGGACTCGCTTGACGCGCGAGTACTTCGGTGTGGTACTGATCAGTAAAAGCACACACAGAGAGAGAGGCACAGAGAGAGCAATACGGGCACGACCTGCCTCGTGCATCATGCTTCCGAGGCACAGGACACACATGACACAGACAGCGGTTTATTGGTTTCGCCGCGATCTACGGCGGATGCTGTCGGAGATTGGTGTCGTCTTGATTTCCAAGTGTACCGTGAAACGGTGATAATCTATCCGGGTAAATACCCGTTTCTGGTTACTTTTCATTTTTTTTGCATGTACAGCAGCACAACACCGCCCCCCCCCCTTTTTCAAATCTCTCGGTTGCCTTGTACACGGAGGCTCGAAAATACCCTACAAAGCACCGACTGTCGGCGGATCGGTTCACTTCTTCACATTCTGTGTGGATGGGTTCGCTATTTACGTCCGCCACGTCATAAAAGGTTCAACGTGTCCGAAAATCTGTTCATGGTCCCTTCGTATTAGTATTATTTTTCCTAAATGCATGCATGTTGGGTGGCGCATTGAACGTACCCCCGTGTTCTCTTAAACGATCAGCAGACCTGTACATGTATTTTTTTTTATCGCGACGCAATGATATTGATTTGAAAAAATATGTTGGAGCAAGTCGTCCTGCGGAGACGATGCGAAAACAATACCCCTGAAGAAGATTTCGATCTCCTCTTGAAAACTTCGCGTTTTATGTTGCTGCTGTATTACAAGTTGGGGCCGGTACACATGATGACAACACGTGTGAAGGGGCACCGCAAGTAGTCATCCGTATGCACATAGACACTTCCACTGTAAATCCTGCAATGATGTTTTTCATTGGATTTTTTTTTTTCCGCTGTGCCATTTTTTTTTTGTGGTTCCAAATAGGTCAGTGGTGCTGGAATCATACCCGAGCTACCAGGAAGTGTGCATTTGTCAAAAAATCGAATAATCTCGCCGCGACCTCGGCGTAAAAATGAAGGTTAGATATAGTGCACTCAAAGCGAGTACTTGGTACGAAGGAGAAGCTTCCTCGCCAGTCACCTTCTACATGTCCCAAACCAAGCTTGCTTGGTATGCATCGCTTACAGGGATCGTTTTTGGAAAACCTTATGGAGGCGGTGGTTGTGAATGCTCACCCTCCCTCTCTCTTTTTTTCCCTGCGCTTGCGCCTTCTTATATCCGTACGATTGCAGGTACCAAAACATCTGGATGTACGTGACACACGAGCTCTACGATGCCGTTGAAGACTGCGAAATCGGAGGTGTGTAGCTTGTGGGGGTTGCGGCGGTCGGTTCACGCCAAATGACGACCAGGCGTGGATGCTGGTACCATGGCGCTTGGTTTGTTTGTGTGTCGAATCTTAAGAGCGCAAGCAAGACCAGGAAGGAGCGCAAGCAAGACCAAGGAGGAGGTACCTATTCGAAATCACCCGCTGTGTGTAGCCTCACAAGACCAACCGATGGTCGCATAGCATGCCACTGGCCCTGAACCACACTTGAATGTTCGAGTTCTTCAAGACTAAAGTATTTGCCAAAATCAATCGCATGCGCTCGACAAGATTGTTCTGAGGCCAGCAATTGTGGCGCCTTCACATCTTAGGGTTGATTACCTAGCTTAGTGACCTTCGACAGCAAGTTCATACGGGGTGAGTGGTACCTCCTGCGACATGCTACCTTATGCGACATACGGTAAAGCTTAATTGTCGTGCACCGCTGCAACCCGTATCGATCTGACCAGCGTTCACTGTCTCGACTGCTCTGCCTTGATGTTCTAAATTTGTTGCATGGATGATGCTGCTGTACAGACCTGTCCGCCAACGACGGAGGGCCGCACGCCTGGGACGAAGGCTGGGCGTTCTATACGGGTTCCCTCGAGGGCACCGCCGTCGGAGGCTCTGGCGACGGGCAGATGATATACGCGCTGGCGGAGAAGAGGTGCGAGAACTTCGGGACGTGCACTGGAGACTCGGACGGCAGCGACGCGACGGGCGTATCGGCGATCAACTCTGAGCTTCTCACTCTGTGGGAGACTGGTCAGGCCAACCTGCTCGCCGGGGAATGTACCGAGGCGTCCGCTGTAATCGACGAGATCTTGCCGCTCATGGCTGTTCCTCTGATCCAGGGTCTGCTGAGGTGCGTCATGTGTGTCAGGAGGGGACGTTTGTCGTATTCGTGCACCTGGGACTCGTTTCAAGCACAGACTAGAACGACGGAGTGGTGCCTTGCGATGTAGGCTTGCGTTGTTTGTGTTACTGGCTTTTAGGGTCGACGCAGGGTCGTGCAAGGAATTGCGGTGTCGGGAGGCTTCATCGTTTGTCTGCAACTGCTAAGAATCTAAAGCATTTTCTGTCTGATGCTTCATTCCGCACGATCACCACACGCTGCTATTCTCCGCTCGTTGTACGACCAGCCAGGCCTTGAAATCTCCAAACTGTGTTGCCCCCTCCCACCCGTGTCATCTCGTACACACCATTCTTACAGGTACACGTATCTTGCTGACCCCGCCATTGGAACGGGCGGCGACAAGGAGGCCGCCGAGCTATGGGCTTTCTCTGCCGCTATCTTGCCGTGGATCAGCGCATGTGATGCCGCGGTGGGGACTACCGTCCGCGACAACACCGAGCTCGGGAGCGCCAGCGCGCCCATGGCGGACGGGTACGCGGCGATCAAGGTGCAGCTGGAGAGCGTGTACTCTTGCATGGGCATCACGTGTGCCCAGGTTGGCGGTCTTCTGGACGACACCGGCGCCTACTACACGGACTTCGAGCCATGCGACGACAGCACGACCACGACCGATTCCGCGACTGATTCCGCGACAGGCACATACGCGGATATCGCGGGATACACGCCAGGTGGGTTTGTACGTGTTGTGAGTATGGTCGATCCCCACTTGCTGGTAACCGTCAGTCGGCCGGGGCCGAATACGGAAGGTGGCCGCCAGAATGGGTGCCTGGCAACACTTCCGGACACTCACGTAGACGTCCGCTCACGGCAATCTAACGTTTTCGAATTCACGGTATTCCGCCGCCTGTATCCTCAGGATCTGATGTCGTGGAGCACTCGGAGCTTGACCTGGACGTTGCCGACATGGAGACGAACGCCGATTTAGAGACGGAAGTTGGCCTCGCCGCCGCGTACACGGCGTACTCCGAGGGCGGAAACAGGTAAGATCGGGGTCCCAATGGGTTGACCAGGGACGGCCAGCGGCAGCAATAGCGCACGAAACGAATGTCCGGCGATGCCGTTGTTGCCTGACCCTTCTGAATATATTACCCTGTGCACTAGGTTGAGTCCCTCAGAAAAGCTTTTCCCTTCCATCGCGCCGCCGGCATTGCAGTGAGAAGTCGACCGAAATCCGGACCGTTCAGGGCTTCTCGACCGGTGCCGATGAAAAGCTCACCGGCGAGGCTACCTTCGACGTTTGGGAGGCATACTGGGGCAGCCCCGACTACGCCGACCAGTTCACGTCGGCAGCGTGCCAAGGAACGGGCGCCTTCGAAGGCGCTGAGATGGTCACGCGGTCTGAGTGTTGCCTCAAGGGAGCACAGTGAGTCTTCGAGTCCCGACAAATTCTTTTTCATGGCACGCTTCTGTTGTTATGGAGAGAAAGCCTTGTGTAGTCGAATCGCTACTCATNCCGACTACGCCGACCAGTTCACGTCGGCAGCATGCCAAGGAACGGGCGCCTTCGAAGGCGCTGAGATGGTCACGCGGTCTGAGTGTTGCCTGAAGGGAGCACAGTGAGTCTCCGAGTCCCCACGTATTGCTTTCCTCTCGTGCTTTTGTGCATTGCATCGCCCACAGCTTTTTCACGGAAAGAACCTCACCCGTGTGTAGTGTTGTTTAAACCAAGGCTGAACATGCCGGACACGGCAGTCACCCGCTGTCCGTAAATGCCTTTACACTGTTTTGACGGTCCTTCCCCATTTTTGTGGCCGTCGTGCAGGTACCAGAACGTTTGGATGTACGTGACTCACGAGCTCTACGACGCCGTGGAAGACTGTGAAATCGGAGGTGGGTGTGTGAAGGTGGCCGAGGGCGGTTCGACGACCAGGCGTCGTTGCTGGTACCTCGGTGGTCGGTTTGTGTATTTTGAATAGTACATGCCATGTCGAGTCGCGAGATTGCTATCCAGAGAAACTGCTTTGTGTTGCCTCACGATAGTTGGTGTGCCCGACGCTTCTACGTCTTGGATGATTTCGATCTCACCAGCCGCTTCCCTGTTGGTTGTTCTGCAATGGCGTCAAAAATTCGTTGCATGGATGATGCTGCTGTACAGACCTGTCGGCGAACGACGGTGGGCCACACGCCTGGGACGAAGGCTGGGCGTTCTACACGGGTTCCCTCGAGGGCACCGCCGTCGGAGGCTCTGGCGACGGGCAGATGCTGTACGCCCTGGCGGAGAAGAGGTGCGAGAACTTCGGAACGTGCACTGGAGACTCGGACGGCAGCGACGCGACGGGCGTATCGGCGATCAACTCTGAGCTTCTGGATCTGTGGGAGGATGGCAAGGCCAACCTGCTCGCAGGGCAGTGCACCCAAGCCTCGGCTGTGATCGACGAGATCTTGCCACTCATGGCCGTTCCTCTGATCCAGGGTCTGCTGAGGTGTGTCACGTGTTCGTGTGATTGGCATCGAACGAAGCGGCTGAACAGTGACAAGAGGCTAGTCTTATTGCGGTATTTAGTCGGACCCTGTGAGCGGGAGGCAAAGTTATTATCCGGATTGTAGTTGGTGTAAGTGCTTTCTGGTGTTGGTGTTTCATGGACTGAACGAGGTGTATCGTGGGTTTTGTGTCGGTTGCTGCCGTACAATGCATGATGTCAGTGGCGGTAACTCCCCGACAAGAAACTACTTCACTTCACGCCTTGCTCGTTGGCATCGTCCAGCTCCAGGGTTGTGTGCATTTTGGCTATGGTCGATGGAGGAGTGCGCCAAGAACTGACCACGAACGTAATCGCTTGCCTGCGGCCGGGCCTTCAATCCGTTGCGTTGCAAGAACGTTGGAAACGTCCTCACGATGGTAGCACTACCGTGACATCGAACCACGCCGTTCTGCCCCATTGATCGCCGTTTAGAAGAGTTGAATTGAAATATCTGATCTAGCAGTCTCTCTTTTTGTGTCGTCCCCTTCCACGTCCTGGCCTCTGACAAACTGTTCCTACAGGTACACGTACCTTGCTGACCCCGCCATCGGAACGGGCGGCGACAAGGAGGCCGCCGAGCTATGGGCCTTCTCTGCCGCTATCTTGCCGTGGATCAGCGCATGTGATGCCGCGGTGGGGACTACCGTCCGCGACAACACCGAGCTCGGGAGCGCCAGCGCGCCCATGGCGGACGGGTACGCGGCGATCAAGGTGCAGCTGGAGAGCGTGTACTCTTGCATGGGCATCACGTGTGCCCAGGTTGGCGGTCTTCTGGACGACACCGGCGCCTACTACACGGGCTTCGAGCCATGCGACGACAGCACGACCACGACCGATTCCGCGACCGATTCCGCGACAGGCACATACGCGGCTATCGCGGGATACACGCCAGGTGGGTTTGTACGTGTTGTGTGTATGGTCGATCCCCACTTGCTGATAACTGTCAGTCGGCCGGGGCCCAATACGGAAGGTGGCCGCCAGAATGGGTGTCTGGTAACACTTCCGTACACTCACGTAGACGTCCGCTCACGGCAATCTAACGTTTTCGAATTCACGGTATTCCGCCGCCTGTATCCTCAGGATCTGATGTCGTGGAGCACTCGGAGCTTGACCTGGACGTTGCCGACATGGAGACGAACGCCGATTTAGAGACGGAAGTTGGCCTCGCCGCCGCGTACACGGCGTACTCCGAGGGCGGAAACAGGT